AAAAGTAGTTGAAACAGTTTCAAGTACATAGGAGGAGGGTGAAGCTAAGGAAAATTTCTGTCCATGGCAAAAGAGGTTTGGGAAGCGTTTTTTCAGATGAGAACATTGTTGCCCCAAACAAAATGAGCGTCCTGTTGGGAAGAGGAACCAACATTAGATATGGATTTAGCGATGCCTGCCAAAATAAGAGACAGATACAAACAAATAATTGTTGATGACATAACAAACACACAATGGGAGCAGAAACAAAGGGTAAAAAACTAAATTAGCCAAAGGGCAGAGGAAACTTCATTAGATGGAGGTGGCATGTGAATTGTGACATGAAGGATGATCAGGAACTCTGCAGAAAGACAAATCCTGGGGAATATGTAAAAGTTGGGTTACAAAACAGCTTTCTCCTGTTCTTTGGGGTTTGGGGAAAAATGTGATGGGAAGTAATTTCAACAAAGAATATTCAGTGCTATAAACAAAGCCACTTTAGTGCCCTGAGAAGAGCTGAAAGCAATGAAAGAATTATACATCCATATTGACAAGTCAGCATGAGAAGAATTTTCTCCCTACAATGAGCAGTTACATATTTTTTCTTCAGGAATATTAAGTATATCAGGGGTATGGGAAAGAAACTGGATAACTGAAGGAAAACAAAGTATTTCTCCCCAATACATTAAGATTGTTAAACTTAAAACACAGGAGAACACTGGGCCTCAGCCTCTGTTTGCCAGATGTTGGGACATAAATCGTTCCTTACTGGAGACATCTCTTGCTTATTGGCCCAGAGAAGACACCAGCAGGCACCAGAGAAATCTGGGAGCAGATTTCAGATATACATTTAATATATTCTAGATAAATCCTCTTCAGTTTGTTTGAACAGGTATCAAATAGTGGTTGCTGTATTATCAGCATTCCAGCTATAGCTTCTGACCCACCATCTGATCCTGTGCCAAGAGTGTTTAAAAAACTCACTACCCTATACTTTTCGTTCTATTAATATTTCTCTATTCTAAATAGGGAGGAATGGGCTAGGCTTGCCTTATGGCTGCCATGGTAAAATCTACCTTCTCATATTTTTTTGCCTTTGAAAAGACTGGAACTGCTTTCTCCTTTGTCTTGCTATGCTAAGATTTATTGTTCTTTGTTAAAATACTATTTAAACAAGACCTTTAAGCCACTGCCTTGAGAGACATACTTTTGAACTGAGGCCTCTCCTATGTGATGAGTATAGCATGTATCAGTAAATTTCTGCTGGTTTTTCTTTTGTTGGTCTGACTTCTGTTTTCAAGAAAGTATCGCAATTAAACATTTATGAGGGTTGAGAAAATAAATTAGATTTTCTCCCCTTCAGCTGGATTAAGTAAGGCTGGGACTGGTAGGGCTGGTACTGCATATAACCTAGGAGTGAGAGAAGTGAGAAAGAGAGTGAGAGTGAATTGATCAAAAGCAAGTTCATGGATTGAGTGATTCAAGGTTTTAGTAAGGATAAAGATAACAAAAACAATAAAGCAGAAACATGAAAAATACCCACAGAAAAAGTCCAATGAGAAGTGAATTCTATCTTAGAAAGTATCAATTCACTCTTGGCTGGGCATGGTGACTCATGCCTGTAATCCCAGCACTTTGGGAGGCTGAGGCGGGCAGATCACCTGAGGTTGGGAATTTGAGACCAGCCTGACCAACATGGAGAAGTCACGTCTCTACTAAAAATACAAAAATTAGCCGGGCATGGTGGTGGGCACCTGTAGTCCCAGCTACTCGGGAGGCTGAGTCAGGAGAATCGCTTGAACCTGGGAGGCAGATGTTGCAGTGAGCCAAGATTGCGCCGTTGCACTCCAGCCTGGGCAACAAGAGCGAAACTTTGTCTCAAAAAAGAAAAAATATATATCAATCCACTCTTATGTTCTCCCCTTACAATATCCACTATCCCAACACAAATACAAAACCTATCATGCCACAAGGAAAAAGGACAAAGACAATATAAATTTTAATTTGGAATTATTTGTTTTAGTTTACAAAAATATAGAGAGAGGCATATGATTAAATGTATTGTCCAGGATGGAAAACCAATATAGCACAAGAAAAATACCTTGGCAAAAAGTCACTTTCTATTTATAAAAAAGTAAAAACAATATGAAATTGAGTAATTATTATATAAATATTCTGAGGAAAGGAACATAAGCAAAACTATATATGCTACAAATTATAAACACTTTTTTCAATGCTATATGAAATAGATTTGAGCATTATACTTTTGTATTCTTAAAAAGGCAAGTACGGCATTACTTATACAAACATTTTACTTGAAATTAAATCTTTATATATTTGGTGATTGTTTAGTTAAAAATTATAAAAGGTGCAATGAGTAACCAAAGAAAATAAAATGTAAAAACCTCTCCTGTAAAAATAAGAGTTCTAAAGACCACAAGAAGTGTAACTTGTGCTCCAGTTTATAATATTGCAATTCTACTTCTCTTTTACAAAAATTAAGTATCATTATTGTATTTCCATGGCAGCCACAAGGCAAGCCCAGCCCATTCCTCCCTATTTAGAATAGAGAAATATTAATACAAGGAAAAGTATAGGGTAGGAGCTTTTTAAACACTCTTGGCACAGGATCAGATGGTTGGTCAGAAGCTATAGCTGGAATGCTGATAATACGACAACCACTATTTGATACCTGTTCAAAGAAATGGTATAATTTTTATCTAAAATATCTTAAGTGTACAGAAATATGTTCTCTTTCTTCTTTAATTACTCTCTCAGCATTATAATCGATTGAGGCAGGATCCAGTATTTTCAGTGTTATAATTTAAAAAGAGCTTGGTCAGGTGAATCTGTGAAATATTGGTGAAAGTATACCTCAGATACTTAATAAATTATGATCTAGAATGGTTCTAAATCAATCCACATTAACAAAAAGATTAAACAGCTGTATTGGTGACCTCCAAACCTACCGAAGGGACTGTCCCACTCTTCCCCTTGTTAAATTTGTCAAAATCTCTGTCTATACATCCACACTAAAACTAAGTGAATTTAATTTAATACTTAAGATAATTTTTATAACATTCCCTATTACAAGCATTTTTAGAGTTATATAAACCGTTGATTTGGAAATGACTAATATTCACAAAAAAATATGCTTAAGGCAAGATTTCCACAAACCAGAACTCGTCTGAAATATGAAATATAGCTTTTTTCTATTTAGACCCTAAATAACAACCATTGCTAAATTAGACTAAAAGAGAGAGGGAAGGGGAAGAGGAAGAGAAATAGAAAGGGAAAAAAGGAGGGAGGAAAGACAGAAGGAACGAAGCAGGCAGCAAGGGATTTCTAATGAGGATAGACGGAAAGGGGCAGGTTAGGTTATTATTCCGAGGATCCTTTCAGAAAAAAATTCCAAACGGATCTAGAAAATTTTTGTAATAAAATGACTATTCATTTATTTGGCACCTACTCTTTGCCAGGCACTAGAGAAGTCTCCCACATATTTAATCTTTGAGATATATTCATCTTTCCATTTTACAGATGAGGAAACTTGTATTCATAGATACTTTGCTTAAGTTAAAATAGCTAGTGAGGAGCTAAGATCATCCAAAATCTGTCTCACTTTCCATTCATGCAAAACCGGACTTCAGCTGTTATAAATCACCAAAAGAGTCACTATAGATATAAAGATCCGGCTCTTTTCATCTAGCTGGAAAGGCATGACATATACATAAGACAAAGACATGGTATTGATCATTCAACTTCTACACTGCGATCTTATTTCCTAAATGATAGCTTGTGCCATCATGAGGTCCTCACAGCACATCACAAAGATGTTTGTAAAATTCAACAGGCTACTAAGTAAGTCACAGTTTAGCAGTTACTAGTGTTCATGTTACAGCAGGTATACTATGTAAAATTATAGACTCCAGAGAACGGCAGAAGTAAGGTTAAGAGGATGGTTCACAAATACAGGACATGTCAAACAAGGTATATCTGAAATTGTCTTCTATTAATTAGAAGAGGATTTCTATTAATTAAAAATCCTCTTATTTAGTTTTAAGTTCTTGATTTTATTAATTGGATTTTATGAGCTATATTCAATATTGGCCATAAGCAATTTCTAGGTCTTTCTAAAAGAACTCATACTCTAGAAAAATATGTCATTCTGAATCATACCATCATTATCTAACTAAAACTAAACAAAATTTAGCTTGTCCATAAGTATCTATGGTGATCAATTTTATTTTTCAATTGCTCCAGGTTGTGGGGCTCAGTTATTTGGTTAAACTCCAGTCCAGATGTTGTTGTGAAAGTGTTTTTTTAGATGTAATTAACACTTAAACCAGTAGACTTTTTAAAACAGTTAAGTTACAGTATTGTATATATTCAAGGTGTACAACATAATGATTTAATATGCATATATACTGTAAAATAATTATCACAATCAGTTAATTAACATGCAGATTACCTTTCATAATATAGATGAATCTCATCCAATTACTTGAAAGCCTTACCAGAAAAGACTGATGTCCCAAGAGGAATAATGAATTCTGCCTTTGGACTCAAGACTCCACCATCAACTCTTCCTGGTATCTCCAGTCTAACACCCTGCCCTGCAAATTTCAAACTTGCCAGCCCACACAACCACGCAACCTGTGAGCCAGAGCCAGTTCCTTAAAATGTCTCCTATCTCCCCCTCTCTCTCCCTCTCTCTCTCACGCCCTCTCACACCCTGTCACGCTCTCTCTCTCTCTCTTTCTCTCACGCTCGCGCTCTCTCTCTCTCTCTCTCTCTCTCTCTCTCTCTGTTGGTCTGTTTCTCTGGAGAACACTAATTAGGGTTCCATACTTCCAAATTGTATTATGTCTGTAAAAATAAATACCCCAGATGACAGTATCTCATTTACTTTTATACTCTTGGCACCAGTACACAGTACACACTCAATAAATAATTAATACCAGTAGACATGAATACATTAAAAAATAAGTATCTAAATCAAACAAACAATAAACTGTTACCTTTAGCCGGGCAAACAGAAAATGCTATCCCTCCTCCTGTGTTGACGGGTTGCCATCGAAACTGAGCAGAACAATGCTGAGGATTATACAATCTAACTGTCCCCCGAAAATACGTTTGTATCAAGAAGCCTCGTGGTCTCAATTCTAGCTCATTAGAAGAAAGCTCAAGTTTTACTAGCTGGACAACTGCCGTCACTAGGATGTGTCCACTGGGTATGTTGTTCACCGTAAACGTGAAAGACCTATAACACAGCAAAAGCATCCACATTTAACTGATGAGAGCTATTTGTGATTATAGAATTCGGCTACATGTAAAATGCACATAGCATTGATTAACATCCACAGTTCTTAGCATGTAACACTTTAATTGTGAAAGATAATTAGATTGCCACTAAAATATGAATTTATATATCTAAAAATTGATGCACATATAGCTTCTATGTTTGGAGAACAAATATAATATACAATACAATTATTCAGGCAAATGAATACATATTCTACAAAAGTACACTTTGATTCTAACAAACAGAAATTCAAAAATAATTCTTACTTCCAAAAATTTCCAATGGTAGGAGATTCAAATATCATTGAAATGTAAGTACTGGATGTAGGTGGAATCACATATGAAAATTGATTGGTTTTCTGAAGTTCTTCTAAATCAGTATCTAACTGGAGCAAAACATGTATAGGTAGCATATTAACAACATGAAGTGCTTGAGTATTTGGAGAGTTCACACAAATATTACCAAAGTTAAGGACAGAAGGCCCTGAAAAAAATGAAAAGTATTTTGTTAAATTTAAAGTTGGCAAATGGGTTCATTTACATTTTAAGTTTTCAAAATATATTTTGATCAACCAATTTATATAAAAATGAAATTTAGAAAAATATTTACCATAATATCTGAAATTATTAAGTAAGAATTTTTTTCTACATGATCATAATTAAATGTTTGGACATTATTGGCTATAATTCAATATAAATGTATTCTAATTATATGGAAAAGTATATGACTAAACAAGAACCATTCACTATAACTTATCTTAGCACCTTGATTTACAACACTTCAACACCTCCTCTATACCCAATAGTACAACTATTTTGTTCACTTATCTGTAATTTATGGAAACTGGTAAATTTCCCATGACCATTGCTTAAATTTTTCCGTTAAAATGCCCAGGGTTTTATAAAAAAGCAATTTTAATAATTTTTAGTTTTGCCTTGCTTTTAACAGCATAATTTAGTTAAGACTGACAGATGGTAAACTGAACATACTTAAAGTATAGAATTTCGTTAGTGTTGGTGTATGTATACACCTGTGAAACAATCAGCACAATAAAGAACGAACATTCATCACTCCAAAAATTTTGTGCCCCTTTACATTCCTTCTCTCCCACTGTTCTCCATGTTTTTGTATGCTGAATTCTTCCCTAGAGAATCTGCCTAGCCACACGGATCAATTATCCTCTGTCCACATCTCCCTCATAGCCACCTTAACCATGGTTAGGATAAAATGAGAACTCCCACTTCAGACCATTATAGCCACTACTTCTTTAATCATAATTGTCCTCCAATCACTTGGTGAAAACGGACCTGGGGGTTACATTGCATAGCACCTCTGTAAGGTTAAAAAGGAATTTTCACTTGTTCTCCTAACTCACAGTCAGCCCAGATGCCTCATGTCTTTACCTCACACAGGTATCTGCCCCCGCTTGAATGTACTTCTCAGAGATGCTAGCCACCTGATAAAAGAGACTCTCCATGAAAACATTCTATTGTTCTCAATCTACTTGACCTGCTTTATGTTTCTTCATACCTTGTAAACCAATGACGTATTATATAAGGATAGGTTTATTATCTCTCTCCTATCCCACCCACAAGTAGTCTCTATGAGAGCAGGAACTCAGTCTGTTTTCTTCATTGCTGTATCTCTAGAACACAGAACTGTGTCTAGTACATGGTGGTCATTCAATTAACATTTTTAAATGACTGAATGGATAAAGGAATTACAATTAAACTGCAGGCATTTTCTAATGCAGCATACTCATCTTATGGATGAAGTGTTTTCACTAAAAGTTTCTAAACACTTATTATGGGTAAGGCACTCGGTTCACACAATTATACTGTAGGGTAGGCAATATTATCACTTCCTATTTTACAAATGAAGAAACTCTGACCCATAGAGGTAAACTCAAATGTCATTGCACTAGTAGGTTGCAGAATCAAACCCAGTTTGGTCTCATTACAGTCTTTCTACCCTATAACACACAGTGTTCCTGAAGCACACAAAGACAATTCCAGAGAGAACTAAGCTAAGAATCCAAGTTTCAGGCATAGCTACATTATGCTACATATAAACGCATACACAGAAAATTTCTGTAATAAGAAAGCAAATATTTGAATTAAAAAATTGGGCAAAGAATTTGAAAGACATTTCTCCAAAGACCATATATGGCATACATAGACATTTCTCTAAGTGAGTACATGAATATATTTTCAACATCTTATTCATTTAGGGAAATGAACATCAAATCCACAATGAGATAACATTTCATACTCATTAGCAGGTCTATAATCAAAAAGACAGAAAATAACAGTGCTGGTGAGAATGTTGAAATTATAACGCTTATACATTGCTGATAGGATTGCAACTTTGTGCAATCACTTTGGCAAACATTTTAAGGGTTAGGTTAGATATAAATTTATCATACAAACCAGCAATTCCACTCCTAAAAATCAGATAATTTTATGTGAATGTTCATAGCAGCATTATTGATCATATCCTCAAACTGAAAACAACTCAATGTCCATCAACTGGGGAACTGATAAACAAAATGTGTATATTCATAAAATGAGGTGCCATTTCAATATAAGAAAGGATCAAAATATTGATTCTACCACATGGGTGAACCTCAGAAACATTAGGCTAAGTGTAAGAAGCAATATATGAAAGACTAGATATTGTACGATTCCATTTATGTTCAGAATAGGCAACTGTATAGAGACAGAAAGTTGATTAATGGTTGTCTGAGACAAGGGGTAAAAATAGAAAGTAACTGGGCGGGACATGGTGTCTTACACCTGTAATCCCAGCATTTTGGGAGGCCAAGGCAGGCAGATCACTTGAGGTCAGGAGTTCGAGACCAACCTGGCCAACATGGTGAAACCCCCATCTCAACTAAAAATACAAAAAGTTAGCTGGGTGTGGTAGCACTGTGTCTGTAATCCCAGCAACTCAAGAGACTGAGTCAGGAGAATCGCCTGAACCCAGGAGATGGATGTTTTAGTGAACCCAGATGGCGCCATTGTACTCTAGCCTGGGCAACAGAGTGAGAAGGAAGGAAGGAAGGAAGGAAGGAAGGAAGGAAGGAAGGAAGGAAGGAAGGAAGGAAGGAAGGAAGGAAGGAGGGAGGGAGGGAGGGAGGGAGGGAGGGAGGGAGGGAGGGAGGGAGGGAGGGAGGGAGGGAAGGAGGGAAGGAGGGAAGGAGGGAGGGAAGGAAGGAGGGAGGGAGGGAGGGAGGAAGGAAGGAGGGAAGGAGAGAGAGAAAGAGAGAGGGAAGGAAGGAGGGAGGGAGGGTGGGAGGGAGGGAAGGAAGGAAGGAAGGAGGGAAGGAAGGAGAGAGAGAAAGAGAGAGAGGGAAGGAAGTAGGGAGGGAGGGTGGGAGGGAGGAAGGACAGAAGGAAGGAAGGAACAAAGGAAGGAAAGAAAGTAACTGCATATGGGCGTGAGAGTGACGGCAGCATTCTAAAATTAAATTATGAAGGTGGTTACACAACTTTAAATTTACTAAAATTCATTCTCTCAATCATACTTAATAAATATGACTACTCTGAGGACCTCTTATATTTCCAAAGGTGATACATGCATACTCTAAATTTCATGAAATATAAATCATACTTGAACTTTTTAAAAAAAAATAAAGGCTGTAGTAGGATTTTGTGTATTCTCACCAACAATTACTTGATGAATTTGCTTTGGTGTCAAAATTAGACTGCAGTCATGTTTTTCCTGGAGTGTGGATGGGTCTGATTTAAGTCTTTTTATAATCTGTAAAAAATCATATTTTTCCAGAATTATTCATTATTAGCAAAAGCTATTTTGAGAATTCTCATGGAATAACCAAATGTAAAACATTGCACATGCCTTTCTTTTGAGGGACTGCTCCTTCTGGGATGCGATACTCCTTGTGGTTAACAATCGATTCGCTTTGATTGAATTCTCTGAAGGGAGCTCCTCTTCTATATGCGCTACTGAGAGTGAAGGTGACCTTAGACCTGACTCTAAGCCTATGTCTATATCATTATATGAATACGTTTTCTCCCTATAAAATTAATAATAATAATAATAATCAGTAATTGCAGTCAAGTCATTCAGAAAATACATCTATAAATTCAAGCATTTCCTATAGCGCATCTTGCTGCTGTCTCACTCATATTCACGTACCCAGACTGGTGCACTACTCTGCATAAAACGGTCCTCTGTGGAGGAGACCCCTTCTCAAACACCTCATCAAGGAAATTATCCTAATGCCTGCCACACCCAAGGACAGCCAATGACTGATATGGACCACAAAAGACAAGCATCTTTGGCTCAAGGCAGGAACAACCATTTGTTAAAATTTAGTCTCAAGAGATCCTGGGCATTAGGCTGACTATAAAATGTATTTGAAACACATCTTTCCTCAGCTTTTATTCCTTCCCTATATTGCTTCCCTCATCTGTACAAGTTTCCCTTGAGAGTACACATTCCATTAATCATAGGCACTGGAATCCCTATCTCAAGATCTGCTTCTGGGGAAATTCATCTAAGATATCTCCAAGTCAAAAGGTAACAAAACAAATAATTGTAGTTAAAGCAGCTCACTGTTTTGCTTTTATCATGTATTGAAATGTCGTTTAAAACATCTAAAATAAAAAAGAAACCAAGGAGTTAAAAAAAATTATGATTCTGTAGACACCATGATCTGTTTATATTGTTTGAGGAATTGAACATTATCTCTCTGCTTGTTTCTGCAAGTGTATATTTCTTAAATATTTAAGATACGTTGAATAATTCTTTGCATGGTATTTCCTTTGCTGTTTTTCACATGTAGTACATGCAAAATCATGATTCACAAAGTTAAATCTTGGAACCGTTATGAAAGTTCCTCTGCAATATAAGCAAGTCATGTTAATATTTTCATATATGCATTTGTTCAATCAGTATTAAGAGGTCCTAGCCAATTTCTATGTCAGGTGTTGGGTGTGGAATGGCAAATAGGACAGATTCCAGTCCTTCCCCTCATATGTTATTCTACATCAAGACATGATTGCATGTAGAACTAGAGTGAAGCCTATTTTTTCTTAATCTAATCAAAAACAATCCTTTGTAAGGTCACTAGGATGTAATGGTGCCTATTCTAAACCCACCTTTGAATAATTAGTCAGATAGGCAATTTGGATGGTTCTCGATTACACATAAGACTCCAAGAAACAAGATCTGAATCTGACTAATGTTTTCTAAAAGTTAACTATCTTTAGATCATTATGATCAAAATTAGGGAAAAAATGTAGAATAATGAATCATTTTGCTAAACATGCTACCTCCTTTAAACTTCACAGCTTATGAAATAACTATCAAAAATAAATCTATATAGAGAAAACAATTCATAAAAGAACCGTGAATTACTTTCTATCTAATATTCACTCAACTAGGTTTATGCTCTTCCTTTTTACCCACCATACATTTTCAATAAAAAGTAATGTGCAAATATTCACACCTTCTGGGTTTGGTCTACCTCAATCTTCACCAAATGTTCTTAATCATTAAGATGTTCACCCTCAATAATTAAAACATCGGTATGAAGATATCAGTCACAAAGTCAAATGAAAATTAATTTTTCTTCTTTTCCTCAACAATTCCTCAATGTTTACAGTAACACAGCATTAACAATGTTAAATACTTTAAGAGAGTGAAAAAACAAGACAGGAAACAAATGCTTTGCTGTTCAAAGATAACTGTTGATACTTAAATTTTCTTCAAGCCCTGAGACACTCAACCATCTTTAGAACCTAGAAATAATTCCCATATATATCTGAATTCCTGAGATCTCTAACAAGCAGAGAGGCATAAGGAAAGGAGTAGTGGTATAAATGCCTTAAATGAGAAACAGCTATTAACATATCTAAATCCTTATCGGCTCCTTAGAGAAACATCTAGAAATACCTCTGCAGCTTAAAGAAGATAAGTTTTCTAAAATATGCAAAGTACAAGGGACACGAATTACTATGGAAATAAAATATTTTTCCTCATTTATTTATTCAAAAAAAATTTACTAAGTGCCTACTCTATGCCCGACATTGTTCTAAGCACAAGGCATGCTGCAGTAAATAAAATAGAGAAAAATTCCTACCTTATTTTTTCTCAAAAATTGAAAAGGTAAAATGCATTAAAATAAAATAGAAATTATAATTACCAACAAGTAAATATACTATAAAACTTATTTCATTACTTAAAGTTATTAATTGCTAGCCAGAAAACATAAGGACTAAATACTGTCCTAATTACTTATACGAAAAAAGTGTTCATTGAGAAAAATGGTTATGGTCAGGTGATAAATAATAAAAACCAAGCCTTGTTTTTAAAATTCTGCTATTTTTAGATCATCTGATTAATATATATAGAAACAAAATAATAATATTTAATTAACACATTATATCTGTATATAGATACACATGCATAACCTTAAGAAAGAGTTGAAAAAGATAAATAAAAAATTATTGCCAGAAACCACCTCTGCAGGGTGGGAGCAAACAGAATGAGGCAGAAGAAAAGACAGAATTTTCTTTTTTATAATATACAATTATATAAAATGCAGTCTAAGTGGTTTTTATGGTTCTGTGTTTTATGGTACTTGTCAAGTAATAATTTTTAAAAAGGCTAACTTGGTTGGAATTTGTAAAACAATAAGATGCACTATAGAAAAACCTGGACTTTTCCTATTGTAGACAATAAAACAAGTATGTCCTAAAAAACAAATGGTATTGCAGGAAAATGTCTGCAGAATTAAGTGAGCTTAATGACTAACCAAATCTAAAAAGACAAGTGAAGAAAGTCCAGAGTCATTGTAAAGTTTAGATACTTTACTATTAACGCACAAGCAGGCAGGAAAAAAAATGCATTTCAGTCTCAAATGTGTAAAAACTATTCATGGGCATAGGGCCACGATAAGCATGTTGAAATGCCTGGTTCACTTCTTAATAACCATTGGAAACTTAGTCATTTATTTGAGATTTGGATAAATATAAACTGAGGTTAAACACTTTTTATCATCCTAATTGGAGAGGTTTAAGTTCACTTTGTGAAAGTTTATTTAAAATGTGTCTTTGAAGGGGTCAAACAAAGATGATGATTATGATAACAATGATTGTTTCACACAATTTTATTTTTAGCTTAAATAAACTCAAGCTGTCAACCATACTTAATAAACATTTCTACTCTGAGGACTTGTTACATTCCCAAAGGTGATTATTTATATTTTTCTTCTATACTTGTCAACAGCATATTTTAAGAATATTTTATATACCATTCACTTCCTGGCAAGTACATAGGAGAGGTTAGATAAAGAAAACACAGTGGCATTCAACAACCATCTCACTCCATGTTAAAAAAAAAAAGGAACAGAAAATGGCAGTTTTGTTATTATTGCTATCATTAGTGTTATACAGTGGGATCTGATCAAACCTCTGCATGTCATGTTGTCCACTACACTTTTCAAAGTTTCAGGTTTTTATAATATTTCATGTTACCTGAAATGTTTATGATGGTCTGTACACCCGATAGTTGCAGCTCCATCTTTGGGAAAGGGTAATAGCATGTCCTTCTCTGACTCTCCACGTGAGTGATGATTGTGAGTGCATCTTATGGTGGATTTAAATACTGATAGAGGTGCATAAGTCTTACATTTTGCCAAGTCTTCAACTACAATCTTTTCCGTAGGATTATGGATCACAGGCGATACCCCTTTTATAGAATTGAATATTAAGTTTATAGATGGTATTTTTTATTTCAACTTTATAAGCAATAACCATGAATTAATTAATACACTAGATAATTGATTCTAACTTAAATGCTTAACTCCTAAACACACTTTGAAAATACAAATTATTAATTAAAAGAGACCTATACAACACAATTTAGCAAAATAATAAAATATGAATAATAAAAATGCATATATAAAAACATAAAATATGGTAACTTGAAGGATTTAAGTTGGCCCATATGAAAGTAAATTTTTTGTTGGTTAAAAACTGTTGACTATCAGCAACTTCATATAGTTCAATGTATATATAAAGAAGAATTAGACAAAACAGTAGCAACAAGTAAATCCACGGAATAGTCAAAAACAGTTTCTATTATAGACTCCTTTAGCAACCAGACTAAGAAGAATAAAATATAAGAGCCATAAAAAAATTAAATAAACTGTATACATCACTAAACCAGTGCTATGTAAAGTGCAGTCCTCAGAATGGCAATAATGGCAGTGTCAGCATCTACTGGGAACATGGTAAAAATGTGAGTCTTTGGGCTGCAACACAGAGTAGCTTAATAATCATTGCTAAGATGTAAGCCAGTGATATGTGCATTAACAGGCCTTCTAGGTGATTTCAATGCATGTTAAAAGATGAGAACTCCTAGGTCAGACCACATTATATTATATACACATACATATATATACACACACACACATGTGCGTGTGATTAAGCAATTAGTATATTAAAATAATCTTAAATTAACAACAATAACAACAAAACCAAGTGGCATTACACAATAGCATACCAGGAATAGTTTTCCTCACAACTTTCATGGTGGGAGCTTTGCAGATGCTGTTGAAATCTAAAGATACATGACAGAAAGGTTTCATTGATAAAGACTGCAAATCTTCATCTGCCACTAAACCAATGATCTCTATCATCTGTTTCACTTTGAAGACTCCAAGTTGATGTGGTGCAAAGGAAAACATCACATTCTAAAACAAAACAAACAAACAAAAAGATGAAAAGTAACCAATAACAAATAGGTTGAAAAAAAAGTTAAAAGCAAAAGCAAATCTTAAAAAAAAAAAGTTAATAAAATTTCAAGGAAAGCTAGTTTATAATGGTAATATGAAAGTACTTCAGAAATACACAGCATTAACAAACTTAAAATATTCATTATCATAAAAGTATTTAAGAAAAATTAAAAATAATACCAAAGCACTTTCAGAATGGTGGATTAAGGACCTCCAAAAGCCTACTTCTCGAGAACAGGAAAGAGAACACTGGCAACAAAAATTGTCAAAATGAACTATTTTCAGATATTTGAAAATACCTAAAGGCTCACAAAAATCTAAGGAGTATTTACTTAAATAAAAAAGATTGAATCTCTGAAGGAACAGAAGACTGTGCCACTTTTACTTGATGTAGTTCCATTCTTTAAAATTCAGCTTTGCAGTCACTTTGAAAAACAGCAGCCTTGCAACTTTGGTAACTGAAAACCATTAGCCTAGTAGCCAAAGGAGGGGAAAGAATGAGTTTGGAACACTCCAAAAGCCTCACTACTAGAGACATGTACATATTTGTTTTGTCTCACATGATTCAGCATTCACTCTGTGTGAACAATGCTCTCTCCAGTGCTCTGTCAAATATATAGGTATATTTTACTCTGTGTATGCATTTGTCCAGCAATTTTTGAACATCTAAGTAACTTGAAGTGGCATTATCATTTAAGGCTAAAATGAGGCTATTCATAAATAAATGAACAAACAGAAAAATTTAAAAACCACTTAAGAACAAGATATTCAGATGGTATTTGAAAAGCTCTGAAATATTCCTGGGAATCTAGATTGCATCTGCAGGACTTTATATATTCCCAGAAAAGAATTAAGAAAGTGCTCATGTCTCATCTATAGCTGAATCTGAATTAAAGACTAGAAAGAGTTGTAAACTACTTGACAGAATATTGAAGACATGCCCCTACATATTTACTTATACAGAGGCTCTGGATACAGGCTGTGAGACTTATTGATTCAAAGATTTTTAAGGGAACCTCTGTCAATCATCAGCTGAACACTAAGTTAACTGAGTAGAGACTTTATTGGCTGTACACAATAAAGAAAAAGCTTTCACAGAATTTGTCTAGAGAATCACTATATAAACAAAACAACAAAAAAGCACAACAAATACTGCAATGCTCTGATTTTCATAGTTGCCAAATTATATTATTTAAAATAACCAGTTTTCAACATGAAAAAAATATGAAACACCCAAATAATCAGGAAAGTATAGTTGATACCTAGGAAAGATGTAGTTCATAGGCAATGTCCCTATGGAAATCCAGATGGTGAATTTATTAGACAAACATGATAAGTTAACTATTGCAAATATTTTCAAAGAACTGGAGAGAAACAGGTCAAAAGAATTAAAGGAAGTATGTGTACAATGTCTCACAAAATAGACAATTTCAAAAAAGTGTGAAAATTATAAAAAAGAATGAATTAATAACTTGGAATTGAAGAGTAATGTAACTAAAATTTTAAATTTACTTAAGGGACTCAGTAGCAGATTTGAACTGGCAGAAAAACTAATCAATGAAATTGAAGACAAGACATTTGAAATTATTCAGACTCAAGAGAGATACATAAGGATAAAGAATAAAGAACAGAGTCTCAAGAGCCTTTTGGGGACACCATCAAGCATAGTCACATGTGTATGATGGTAGTCTAAAAAGGAGAAGAGAGAAAGAACAGATCAGAAAAAATATTTGAAGAAATAATAGATGAAAAGTTCAATTGATTATAAAGATAATATACATATCAAAGAAACTCAACAAAACCCAAGCAGGTTAAATCAAATAGATCCATATCTAAACACAACAACTACCAGAAAGCAACAAGAGAGAATCTTGAAACACTGCAAGAAGAAAGGTAATCATCATGTGAGAAGGTTTATTTAGAGATGAAGAGCTAACTTCTTATTGGAAACTCTGAAGGCAAAGAGGCTATGGGGAGGCATGTTCAAATATTGAAGGAAAAAGACTCTAGATGCAAAATTCTGTAACCAGCACAACTATCATTCAAAATTAAAGTATAAATTAAGAGGTTTCCCGAAAAATATAAATGAAGAGAATGTATCATTAGTAGATTTGCATTATAAAAATATAAAGGGAATTCTTCACAATGAAGTAATAACTCAAATTCAGAAAAAGAAATTAAGAGCACAGGTAAACATAATTACCTACACAGATATATATAAAAGCATAAACTTACTTTTGTTTGCAATGCTTTCCTGCTCCTATCTGATTTAAAAAGCAATGTATTCAGAAATAAGTATTAGAGTATGGATGAGCTTTTAAAGAATAAGCACATATAATTTGTATGACGAGAATAGCATAAAGAGGAGACAAGAAACAATTCTACTGAAGCAAAGTTTTTGAATTCTATACAATTAAGTAGACATTAATGTAAATGAGACTGTATTACATAAAAGAAAATTAAATGTTTTTAAAGTTTAGTCAAATAAATTATGAGGAAATTAAAATGGTATATTACAAAATATCTATTTAGTACAAAATAAAACAGTAATGAAATGATAGAAAACAAGGAGGATATGTAATTACAGAAAACAAATAGAAAAATAGCAAATGTAAATCCTATGTTACTAGTAGGTACATTACATATAAATGGGTTGGCATACATTTACCTGTGTAATAAACCTGTATATCCTGCACATGTACACCATAATTTAAAATTAAAATTAAAATTTTTGAAAAAAGTAAATGAATTTTCTTTACATTCCTTTCACCCAGCTCTATTAAGGTATAATTAATACATAAAAATTATTTGTATACAAATATATAGTATTTAATATGTAATTTTGAATAAATTTTGAAATGATTAAATGAAGCTAAATAATATATCCTTACTGTTTTGTGTTGAAAATATTTATACCCTCTTAGCAATTTTCAATTACACATTATTATTAACTATAGTCACCCAGAGCTTATTCATTCTGTCTAACTGAAATTTTATATTCTTTGATTGATATCTCATTAGTTTTCACCCACTATTCCTGGCAACCACAATTCTACTCTCTGCTTCTATGAGTTCAACTTTGATTCCACATGTAAGTGTGGGCATGCAGTATTTGTCTTTCCAAGTGTGTCTTATTTCACTTAGCATAACTTCCTCCAAGTTCATCCATGCTTTGCAAATGACAAGATTTCCTTATTTTTTAAGGCTGTATGGTATTCACACACACACACACACACACACACACACACACACACATTTTTTTAATCCAAAGGGAATGAAATAAGCATGTTGAAGAGATATCTTCACTCTCATGTTAACTACAGCATTATTCCATAGCCAAAATATGCAATCAATCTGTTCATCAATAGATAAATGAACACACATAAATGGATTACATTGTGCACTCAGAAAGCAGAGATTGGTGGAGTAGGCAAAAACACCATCTACATATTGCCCACAAGAGGTATACGTTGTATACAAAGATACAAATAGGTTGACAGTGAAAAGATGGCAAAAAGATGTGTCATATGCAAACAATATCCAAAAGAGAGCAGGGCACCTATACTAATATAAGACAAAATATATACTGATAGAAAAAGTTCTACATTGGAAAAAGAGCATTTTATAATGATAAAAGAGTCAAGACATCAGGAATGGATATCATAACCACATATGCACCTAATATGAAAAAACTGATAGAAGTGAAGAGAGAAATAGGCAATTCAACTATAATAGTGGGAGACTTAGATATCCCACTTCCAATAATGATTAGAAAAACTAAGCATATGATCAACAAAGAACAGAGAACTGAAAAACCAATTAGACCTAAAATATACCTGCAGAACATTTTACCTAACTACAGTAGAATGCACATTTTTCCAAAGCACACATTTGCACTTTGAATGAAACTTTTTAAATATAGACTATGTTAGGTTATGCAATAAGCCTCAATCATTTAAAAAAATTGAAATCTGCACAGTCTGTTTTTCAACCAAAATGTAATAAAATTAAAATCCATAAGAGAAGAAAATGTAAAAAATTCATACATTTTGGAAATTAAGGAGTAAACATCTAAATAACCAATAGATCAGAGAATAAAACTACAAGGAGAATTCAACTATATTTTGAGATGAAGAAAAACTAAAACACAACATACGAAAACGTATGGAATGCAGAAAAAGCAGTGACAAGATACAAATTTATGGTTATAAATAAATGTATTTTTTAAAGACTTTTAATTAATAATCTAACCATTCACCTTAGGAAATTTTTCAAAAAAACAACAAAGTAAGTTTAAAGGGAGTAGAAGAAAAGGAATAATAAACACAAAAGCAATAATAAATAATAAAGAGAATAGAAAATGTTAGGAAAAAATCAGTTCTGAAACTATGTCTTTGAAATGATTAACAATGCTGAAAAAAAATTAGCTAGACTTAATAAGCAAAAAAAAGAGATGACTAACTTTGCTAAAATCAGGAACAAAAGAGAGGACATCACCACCAACTTACATCATAAAAAGGTTTATAAGTTAATGTGATCAACAATTGAATACCAACAAATCAGGTAACCTAAATGACATGGGAAAATTCTTATAAAGTGAAATACATAAACTACTGAAACTAACCCAAGAAAAAGTAGATAATATGAATAGCCTCGCAACAAATAAAGAGATTGAATTCATAGCCAAAAAAATTCTGACAAAGAAAATCCCAGGACAAAATGGCTTTGGTGGTAAATCCAACCATTTAAAGAAGAATTAGTGCCAATCTTTTACAAGCATTTACAAAAAAATTAAAAGAAGAGAGTACTTCTCAATTCATTCTATGGTACTGGTTTTATTCTGATACCAAAATCAAAAATATTTTTTAAAATCTCTAGTCTTATGGCCCTTATGAATATATATGCAAAATTACTCAACTAAATACTATCAAACTGAAACCAGCAAAATGTAAAAAGGATTATATACTATGTATGAGTATGATTTCAAGTTTAACATCTATATGTCAATGTAATGCACCATCTTAATAGAATAAAGGACAAAACCACATTATCATTTTAATAGACACAAAAAGTGGTTGACAAAATACAATGCACTTCCATAATAGAAACATGCAACAAACTAGGAATAGAAGGGAAGTCCCTCAAGTTGATAAAGGCAGCCTATGAAAATCTTACAGTTAAAATCATACTTAATGATAAGAGACTAAATGTTTTCCCCTTAGATCAGAAACAAGATAAGATACCCTTTTGCCATGACTATTTAATACTGTACTAGAGGTTCTAGTTAGGACAAGTAGGTAAGAAAATAAGTAAATAAAATGAATCCAGATTAGAAAGAAAGATGTAAAATGATCTCCATTCACAGGTGACATGATCTTGTATCCCAAAGAATCCACCAAAAAACCACCAGAACTAATAAATGAGTTCAGCAAAATTTGCAGAATACAAGGCCAATATGCAGAAATCAACTGCATTTATATACACTAGCAATGAATAATCCAGAAATAAAACTAAGAATTCAATTTCATTTACATATCATCAAAAAAGGATAAAATATTTAAAATAAATTTTTTAATAATTGCAAGACTTGTACACTGACTACTACAAACATTATTAAAAAGGCATTAAAGAAGACATAAATAAGTGTAAAGACATACAATCTCATGGATCACAGGATTTAATATTGTTAAAATGGCAAAATTCCCTAAATAAATTTACAGATTCGACACAATTCTTATCAAAATTCCAGCTGTCTTTTCTTTCTGCAGAAATTAGCAAGCTAATGTTAAAGTTCATATGTATTTGCAATCATGTCGCATTAGGCAAAAGTGTTCTTTAAAAAGAAAAAATTTGGAAGGCTCATATATCCCAAATTCGAAAAGTACCATAAAGCTGCAGTAATTACAGGCCTGGTACAGTGGCTCACACCTGTAATCCCAGCACTTTGGGAGGCTGAGGCGAGCAGATCATTTGAGGTCAGCAGCTCAAGAGCAGCCTGGCCAACATGGTGAAGTACGTTGTCTCAAAAAAAAATAAAAAGAGCTACAGTAATTAATACATTGTGGTACTGACAAAGGATAAATACAGACAGGCAAAATAGAATTTTTAGTCTAGAAATCATTACATTCATGGTCAATTAATTTTTTTATATATGTGACAATAGTCTGTGATAACTTGACATCTCTATGAAAAAATGTTATAAAAATGCCATTTATAAAAAATAACAAAATGTATAATAGAAAAAGTTTGAGCTAAAATTCTTACTAAAAAACATAGGAACAAAACTTAATGACCTCAGACAGTATATGACTACTTAGATATGATACTAAATGCCCAAGAAACAAAAGGAAAAAACAGATAAATTGAACTTCATCAAAAGAATTACTTTTATCCTTCAAAGGAAACTACCAAGAAAGTGGGAAGACAATCCACAGGATGGAATCAAATATTTGTGATTTCCATATCTGTCAAAGGACTTGTATTGAGAATATATAAAGAACTCTAGCAATTCCATAACAAAAAGGCAGACCAGTTAAAAATTAGTAAAATATATTTCATTAGTTTTCTATTTTGGCAATAAAAAATTACCAAAAAGCTTGTTGACTAAAATAACTCAAATTTCTTAGCTTACACTTGTCAGAAGGCTAATACAGGATGAAAATCAAGGTGTCAATAGGACTGTTTATTTCTGGAACTGTAGCAGAGAATCTGCTTTCTTGCCTTTTCCAGATTCTAAAAGCCATCCCATTCTTCAGCTTATGCACCCCACCCCCTTCCACCTTCAGAACCAGAAATCAATGGACAGTAAAGTCTTTCATCACTTTGACACTGATATATTTTCTGTCCTCCATTTCCACTTTTAATGAACCTGGGAGTACACAGGGTTCACCTGAATAATCCAGGCTAATTTTCCTATTTTAGGGTCAGTCAATTAACAGTCTTAATTGCAAGTGAAACCTGAATTAGTCCTTGCCATAGAACATCACATGTTCATAACTTTTAGAGATTAAGATAGAGATATTTTAGGGGGCCATTATTCTGCCTTATTATAGATATGCATAAATATTTCTCCAAAGAAAATATACAAATGGACAAAAAGTACATGAAAAGATATTTGTCAGCATTAGTTACTGAGGATATATAAATGAAAACCATAAGGACATGATACTTTGCACCCACTGGGATGACTATAATAATAATAAAAAGAGAAGTACATTAACAAGTGTGGGAGGGCATGGATAAACTGGAATGTTTATTTATTGTTGGTGGGAATATAAAATGGTACAATCACTTTGGAAAACAGTATGACAGCTTCTCAAAAAGTTAAACATACAATTTTCATATGACCCCAAAAAACCTACTCTTAAGTATATTTCAAGAATATTAAAACTTTGTCCACAAAAAAGTTGTACACAAATGTTTACAGCAGCATTATTCATAATAGCCAAAAGGTGGAAACAACCCAAATGTCCCTCACTTGATGACTGGTTCAACAAAAGGTGATAAATCCTTACAAAGGAATATAAATTGGCTATAAAAATGAAGCATTCATACATATTACAATGTGCATGAACCCTGAAAATACTATGCTAAGTGAAAGAAGCCATACACAAAATGCCATGAATATAATATTTGTAGAAAATGACCCAAAATGGAAAACCTACTGACTAGAGAATAGATTAACATTTGCCAGAGGCTGATGAATGAAGAGAAGGGGAGACTGCTAATGGGCACGGGGTTTCTTTTTGGGGTGAAGAGAATGTTGCGGAATTAGTGCTGATGTGTGCACTCTGAACATATTAATATCACTGAATTGTATATTTCAATATGTGAATTTTATGGTATGTGAATTGCATATCTATAAAGTTAGTATTTAAAAAGAATAATCTTATCACACTTCTAAATAGTCAAACGCTCTTTGACCAGTCTGTGCAGGTCACAATTGTCCAGTGTCTACTATACTTCTTACATTCACATTTTGACTAATTTGAAAATGATTAGTGTAAGAGAAATTCACAAATGTAGAGGGTTAAAAATAATATTGGGGAATTAGCTATCAGATATGTTTTGAAAGACGCATATGGTACTGGAGAAAAATAATTGAGTGGGTAGGTTTAAGAGACTTGGATTACAGGAAATCTAGGAAGCAGTTAAAAAGAAAACATTTAGTATAAAGTGGTTAACATTTGTTGCTCTTCTATGAAAACTGATTGCGTCTATCGAAATTTGGAGGGAGAGAGTCATACTAATGAAACAGTAAGAGATATAAATAGGAGCTGCATGTGTATAAACACGTATACAATAGTTCTTAATTGCAATTGGGAGAAAGCTTCCTTCAATAACTTTATAAACTGCATCACTGCAGTGGAAGAAAGAGGATAACATAAGAAACTGAGGAGAAACTGAATGTACTTATGTTTGCTATATTTAAGGCAGGGTTCAACAAACTTTTTCTGCAAATTGCCAGACAGTGAATGCTTTGGGCTTCATGGGGCATACAGTCTTCTCACAACCATTCAACTCTGCATTTTGTGTAAAAATAGCCCTAGACAACAGGTGAACAAAAAAGAGTAGCTATATTCCAAAAACATTAATTACCAAAATAGGCATCAGGCCACATTTGACCTATGGACCAGAGTCTTTTAACCCATGGTTTAGAGGATATGGGAAAGAGTTACCTGTGCAGCAATGAAAAGAAAAAGAGCTCCTGACAAGCAGAAGCTGATCTAGTGCTCACAGGTATGCCTTGTTCTCTTTTTCTGCTTTGCACCAGCAGTACAAGTTCTAGGCCTGCCTGGTAAATATCACCAGTTTCAAACTTCGAAATTCTACTCAAACTTCAAGGTCTGGCTCATACTTTACTCTCCTATGAAGACTTTTCTATCTGGTTAGAAGTAAACATCCTGTTATCTGAGTTTCTATATCACCTTGTTACAACTTTATCTTAACATACTTTGCATTTTCCTTAAGCCATACCTACCTGTGTATATGTCTAACATCTTAGAGGAAGTAACTATGTTTTGCCTTTCTTTAAATTCCCTAGTGCCAAATGCTTTCGCTGGCACATGAGAGTCACTTAACAAATCATTATGGATTCTATCTGAGTACCAATACAAAAGTCTTCATAACTAGGCCACAGAAGAGAAACGATTTATAAACACTGGTAGAACAAATGTTGTTTCTAATCCTCTGCATAGCATTTTAGCACACCTTAAAATGTTAGCTGCAATGGAAAAGCAAAGAAAAATTATCTTACCACCATGCATCCCTCATTAATCCTGCCCTTTTCAGGTTCGATTTTAAAATTTGCATTTCTTGGAAAGTGGTATATCACAGGAAGCAATTGGCATTGATTTTGTATGGTAAAGTGAATTTCTGAACGTTCACCCACGAAACAAGGTTTAAAATTAAGAACTTTTCCTGGATCAAACTGTAGTAAAACTGGAATTCCTGATCCCTTCACCGCTAATTCCGTTTTCTGAAGTCGCTCACCTGTGAAAGCAATAATAACTGTTGAACATAAAAAGTGTTTGGGGAATCCAGAATATATTTGCTTAGTCCATTTGTTGTCTGAAAGACCTAATGCAAATTGGGTAGCTCATTCAATCTTTTCTTTCAACAAAATTATTGAGTGCCTTCTCTGTGTCTCGCCTTGAGGATACAGCAATGAATAAAAAAGACAACATTCCTGCTTTTACGGACTTCACATTCTAGTAAGGTGACACTGACAATAAACAACCAAATAATGCTATATGTTTACACAGCATTTTATAGACGATAAGTATTATGGGTAAAGGTAAACAAGGTGAGACAGAGCACAAGGTCTTGGGAATTCTGTTTTATATAGCGATGTCCAAAAAGGCCTCTCTGACAGGGAGATACTTGAGCCAAAGATATAAAGGGAGTCTGGAAAAAATATGTTAAAAATCTAGGAAAAGTATATTCCAGGCAGAGAACAGCAGGTACAAATATGCTAAGTCAGGAAATTGTCTGTCATGTTCAAACAACTTTAAAGAATCAAATATAGCTAGAGGAGAGGAGCAGAAAACTGGTGAGAAATTATCAAATTTTAGATATATTTTTGAGGGTAGACTTAAGAAGATTTGCTGATACATTGGCCACAGAATAGGGAAATAAAGAAGTGATAAAGGATGACTCTAAGTTTTTAGTCTTAGCAACCGAAATGACGGAATTGCCATTTCATGAAATAAGAGACTGAAGGAGGAGCCGGTTGTGGAAAAATCAGGAGTTCTATTCGCGACATGTTAAGTTGAGATACCTAGTAGATATTCTAATGGAAATGTCTACTAGGCCACTCTGCATTGACAAGCTTACGAGTGAAGATGAAGGAGGAAAGAGTGGAGACTTGAGGAGAGAATAAAAGGTGTGTGATACTCATTTCAGATTGTGTAAGAGTGAATGAATGGGTAAATGCAATAGGAATGTCAGACAGCTTAAATAACTCATTTGGGATTAGTGACTATAGATACACAGTGAAACCTCTCAATATGTTTGTGTGTTTTTCTCTAACACAATCCACTTCCCATGTGCATACCCAATGTAGGCTCAAAGTTGAATTTCACAGAATTAGAGGTTTTTCAGTCAGACACTATGGGAGACAGACCAACAGACATAAGTGTACATGAAAAAGAGTAATTGTAATAATGGACAATGGAATAGAAGCTGGGCAAAAATATAATCATGAAGCTTTGGGGAAACTAGAAAGACGACAGCAGAAGAACAATTTTGCAGAGAGACCAGTGTAACTGGAACCGAAGAAATAGAGTTTTTATTTTTTCACTGATGCTCTCAGAAGCCAATCTTAGACTTTATATTACCTTTAAGGCAAACCAAGTAACTCCATCCCTAGGTATAAAAAACTGGATTTACCTGTAAACTTTGTATAAATGTGGAATTGCCATTGCTGTCTAGGATTAGCAGACATAGCTCAATATCACAAAACATGATATAAATAGTAACAGGACAATCCATTTCTGCCCAAGGAATACAGTTAAATCCTGCTCCATATCACTTACACCAACATACCCAATTTGCCTAAATATCCAGCATGGTGACCTAACCCCTCCTTGGTATAGCTCATTTTCCTGGATTTGATTCATAACCTTCCTAATTCTCTATTTTCTCTTTCATCTGTCTTGCTAAGCTGAACTCCAAGTCCAATTCCATTTTTTTTCCCTCACTACAACCAACCTGAAATGTAAAATATATAAGGCATCTTGACATGTGGCCTGCAAAACATGTACAATTACCAGTGTCCGATAACACTGGTTATTGGTCCTGTACCCTATTAACTAGATCTTTTTTTTTTACTGCTCCTATTTGTAGATTCTAAGAGAGCTGAAGGTTTAGTAGAGATGAAATGGTTCATTTGTCCCCATACCAATCCCTAAGAAAAAACCTAGGCATACATAGAAAAAGAAATCAGGTTTTTTTTTTTTATTTCTTAAACTCTAGAACATCATGTTTATCTAAAATCATTTTAAAATTATAAAGCAAGCTAACTTCTAACCTGGAAAATTACTATGTAAATAATTGTGAGGTTGACTTGTTTCCTAACACGCCACAGATGACACTTTACGGTCTCTTGAACACGGTTGCATTTTTGTTCTATTGAATAATTATAAATTTGATTAAATTGTCTCTACAGATATTGATGTTCAAATTTTTAAACAATTTAAATGTTTAAATTTAAATTTTGATAATTTTGTTAATTTCACACTTACTTTTAATGGTTTTATAGTCATCATCTCTCAAAAATCCATCTTTACTTCCTACAGACTCAAATCTCAAATAGAGAACATAGTCCTGCTTGTATGAAGGTCCAATATCCTTTTTACATTCATCCGTAAGTCTGTAAAAAAATCACAATGAGTTATTTTTAAAGTAAAGGTGATACACTTTTTATCACCTTGTAAGAGGGAGTGTCAACTCAATCTTTAAATCTATGCAAGCAAGTGAATGCTAAGGAATGAAAATATAACTGTGATCCATTTTCCAAATTTACTGCACAGCCGGAAAGATTTGCCAAAAGAAGGCTACAGGGTATAAAGCTCAGAAAAATGAGTTCATGCCAACATTGTAAAGACAAGAGTAATTTAAATTTACCAAGTCTTCAAGGTCCAGCTCAAATGCCACTTTCTCTGCAAAGAATTTTCTTTCTAGGCAAAATTCAACTCTAGCTTCAGAGTCTGATTAATTCTTTACAATAGTCCCTCTTACTCTTGGGCGTAATAAAAAACATTTGTTACATATTTGTCTTCTCCAATGTACTAAGTGCATATTGCCAGCCACACTTTCGTTGTGGACAAGTAATTTGGAGAACAAGATTTGCTAACAATTAAATTTTGTTCGAGGAAAAAAGGAAAGGAAGGCTAGGAGGAAGGAAAATAGGAGCAAAGGTAGAGATGGGTTATGTCATAGGTCTGCTCATTGGCTATCTTTATCCGCCTTATCTAGAGGTCAGCTCTTCTAGCAGTGCAAACTCAACTACACTTACAAAAGACTGATATGTAATATTAAATATGAATACAAATAGTATGTTCAGAACACGTTTAACTAAGACTTCAAATCATACACATACTTACGATCTTATGCTAGACTCTACAGGTAACCTGCTGCCATGAAAAAGAATAGAATATTTGAAATTTCAAAAATTGTGTATTAAAGAGAATCTTATAGTTTCACCAAAGAAACTACTTGTATGAAGGTATCATTAATAAAACAATTCTGTATTTACATATAGAACAATTACTTGATTTATTAACCTCTTTAAATTAGAGCAAGCTCTATCTTCAACAGGCAATTGATGTTACCAAGCAACCCTATTCCACAAAAAGAAGTACATTAAACATTACCCTCTCAGAAACAAGGAAATATATACTTGCAATTGAATCAGTTCATACATACTGCAACCTATCAAGGTATCACTGAAATTGCTATTATATATTTAAAACAGCATGTTCTTCAAATTAAATAGCAAAAAGTTCATGGAATTATGAAAAATGTACACTAGCTTACGTGCTAAAAATCTATGAATTTCAGCAAGCAAGTTTGACTGATCCCAGGAAGGTGCTATAGGTTTAATACTTATGACAGTTAGCAATAACTTTGCCTTAACAGAAGCATTGCATCCTCTTTGGAGAGGCCTTCAACATGCTGCATGCGCCTGACTATTCGTGGGGACAACAAGGTCTTGATTACACAAACAATTTGGGGCCACATTCTAAAACAACTCAAAACTTGTGCTTCCTCCACCCCGTTTCAACAAGGTCTAGGGAGATTTTTAAGTTTCCATGAAGTATTTATAACCATATTTAGAATTATTAGAAATATTACTAACCATGTTAGAAACATCTAGAACCATGACAAGCGAAATCTGATTTGTGCCTTCTGGCAAGTTTTACTATTATAGTATTAAAGTGAATCTGATTAAAGTGTGGTTAGTCTACTTTCCATTAATACTTAACACTATAATGAAATTAATTTTTGCTTACTTCGGGCTGAAACAAAATATAATTACAATCTTTTGATAAGGTTGTAAAGTCCCTTCATTAGGAACACAGGAGATAATGGTAGTAGTATCTATGTCCTTTAATTTTCTTATGGAGGCGAGACTATTTAAAGCAATATCTGTTCTTTGTTGAGTATTCGTACCCTGTAATACAAAGTCAGAAATAAATGAGTATTAAGGCAAAACACAAAAATTTTTTCAAAGAGGTTACAAAACAATTATTGAAATTCCAGAATCAAGGAAATAGCAAATATATATCTTTTTTTTTTTTTTTTTTTTTTTTTTTGGGTTGGAGTGTAGCTCTTCTTACCCAGACTGAAGTGCAATGGCGGGATCTCGGCTCACCACAACCTCCGCCTCCTGGGTTCAGGCAATTCTCCTGCCTCAGCCTCCTGAGTAGCTGGGATTACAGGCACGTGCCACCATGCCGAGCTAATTTTTTATATTTTTAGTAGAGATGGGGTTTCACCTTGTTTACCAGGATGGTCTCGATCTCTTGACCTCGTGATCCACCCGCCTCATCCTCCCAAAGTGCTGGGATTACAGGCTTGCGCCACCAAGCCCGGCCGCAAATATATATCTTTAAAGTAACATTTATACAAAAATTTGGCCAAGGCACATCATAAAATGGCAACAAAAGCCAAAATAGACAAATGGGATCTAATTAAACTTAAGAACTTCTGCACAGCAAAAGAAACAATCATTAGAGTGAACTGGCAACCAACGGAATGGGAAAAAAATTTTGCAATCTACCTATCTGACAAAGGGCTAATATCTAAAATCTACAAAGGACTAAAGTAGATTTACAAGGAAAAAAAAAACTTTTCTAAAGAAGACATTTATGAGGCCAACAAACATATGGAAAAATGCTCATCATCACTGGTCATTAGAGAAATGCAAATCAAAGCCACATTGAGATACCATCTCATGCCAGTGGCGTTCATTAAAAAATCTGGAGACAACAGATGCTGGAGAGGATGTGGGGGAATAGGAACACTTTTATATTGTTGGTGGGAGTGTAAATTAGTTCCACCATTTTTTAAGACAGTGTGGTGATTCCTCAAGGATCTAGAAATAAAAATTCCATTTGATCCAGCAATCTTATTACTGGTTGTATACCCAAAGGATTATAAATCATTCTATTATAAAGACACATGCACACATATGTTCATTGTGGCACTGTTTACAATAGCAAAGACCTGGAACCAACCCAAATGCCCATCAGTGATAGACTGGATAAAGAAAATGTGAAACATATACACTATGGAATACTATGCAGCCATAAAAAAGGATGAGTTCATGTCCTTTGCAGGGACATGGATGAATCTGGAAACCATCATTCTCAGCAAACTGACACAAGAACAGAAAACCGAACACCACATGTTCTCACTCATAGGCAGGTGTTGAACAATGAGAACACATGGGCACAGGGAGGGGAACATCACACACCGGGGTTCCTGGGGGTGGGGGCTAGGGGAGGGACAGTGGAAGGCGGGGAGGTTGGGGAGGGACAACACTGGGAGAAATGCCTAATTTAGGTGACAGGGGGATGGAGGCAGCAAACCACCATGGCCTGTGTGTACCTATGCAACAATCCTGCAAGATCTGCACATGTACCCCAGAACTTAAAGTACAATAAAAAAAATTTTTGAAAAAAATTTAAAAAATTGATGAGAACAGAAATACCTTCAATTAGCTATTGATCTATAAGAAGTACTTGTCTGATTTACTTCAGATATATATTACCATAAATTTTCACTTAATTTCTGAATTTTTTGAGGTTGCCATTGGATACATATGAAATCAAATCTATCTGTCCATGTTAAAACGTATTTTGAATAATTAAAAAGCTTGTTGGTTATTAGTAGATTTAACACAATCTCTTTTAAATCATAATACCTGATATCCCCATCACACCATTTACTTACCAGTTCTTCTCCTACGGCATCATCTTGTATTATAGCCACCCAATTTATGGGCTCTGGGCTATTATTGTATATACGTGCATGTTTAAGTTTTGATGTCCCGAAGTAAACAGCACCAAATTCTAAGCATTTCAGCCTTTGGTCATGACTCATGTGTAATAATTCAATAATCTGCTCAACCACATAAGCTTTGATACTCAAGAGCATCTCAGGTTGATCTTGCAAAACCACTCTACAAGATAATAAAGTATGCACATACATATATATTTTAATTAGAATTCTATATACTTTTTCTCCTACAAATTTTGATAAACAAAAACTTTATAGAACCACATTATAATTAAAATTCTGTAGCCTAACAGTAGTTCCTTTCACTTACATACCACATGTTATCAGGTTCTTCTGTATATCTGAATCTACACAATGAAATGGCATATGTGCATGCTAATTTGTCGTCTTCAGGAAACAACAGAGTTGTAAAACCATCTCATGAACTGACCCCAGAAACAACTCAATGGCATATTCATATTGCCAATTATTTAAGTGATTTGTATGGTTACCTCTGTTCTCAATTTCTGAAATTCTTTTATAATTCTTATCTCCCAAGTCCAACAGCTAATCTTATCGCCATCCTTACACCTCAATTCCTTACCATTTAAAGTATCTCAGTAAAGTCCACTGCTGGCTGGGCATGATCTCACACCTGTAATCCAAGCACTGTGGGCAGCAGAGGAGGAAGGATTGCTAGAGTCCAGGAGTTTGAGAGGAGCCTGGGCAACACAGTGAGACCCTATCTCTACAAAAAATATATTTTTTTAAATCGTCAGGCATGGTGACACACATCTTCAGGTCCAGCTACTCTGGAGGCTGAGGTGGGGGAATTGCTGGAGCCTGGGAGGTCGCAGTTGTAGTGAGCCATGATTGTGTCACTGCATTCCAGTCTGGGTGACAGAAAGAGATCCCATCTCAAAAGCAAAACAAATTGAGACCATCCTGGTCAACATGGTGAAACCCCGTCTCTACTAAAAATACAAAAAATTAGCTGGGCATGGTGGTGCACGCTTGTAATCCCAGCTACTTGGGAGGCTGAGGCAGGAGAATTGCCTGAACCCAGGAGGCGGAGGTTGCAGTGAGCCGAGATCATGCCATTGCACTCCAGCCTGGGTAACAAGACTGCAACTCCGTCTCAAAAAAAAAAATAAAAGCAAAACAAAGCAAAATTCCCACTTTTTTGCTGAAATAATTATTTCACCATTAAACTTCACTTCTCAGATAAATTTCAGTTCCTTTGGGAACCGCTCTTTCATTTTTATCCCTCTCCAGCATAAATGCAATCTTTCAATTTAGGCCCATCAGATACCACAGATAACTGACTACTCCACAACCATCACCTAAGCCCTTATCTTACACTATATCCTGTAACATTGGGCATTGTTTATTCCATCTCTTTGCATATTACTCCTCCTTTAGCTTCCTTGACACCAGAATTTCAAGGTTTTCTTTTAACTAACTGAGGCCCAACTTCTCACTCTTCTAAGACTGGAATCTTTTTGAAATTTGATAAATAGTTAACACGAATAGTAATGCTTTCGTCTTACTCTTTCTCACTCTACTCTCCTTCTCAAAGTTATTCTCAACACTTCTGTTTCTTCTACCACTTATACACTAACGATCTTCAACCCTATACAGGCTGAGTATTCCTAATATGAAATCCATACTGCTCCAAAATCCAAAACATTTTCAATGCTGACATAAAACTCAAAGGAAATGCTTATTGGAGCATTTCAGATTTCAGATTTTTAGATTACAGATACTAAACTAGTAATTATAATGCAAATATTCCAAAGTCCAAAGAAAATTTAAATCTAAAACACTTCTGATCTCAAGTATTTTGAGTAAGGAACACTCAACTTGTACATCTAAACCAAATTTTCTGGGGCTCAAGATAATTTAATAAGCCTCAGCCAGCTCCACCAGGAATCTGAAAAGTAAATCCATTCCAACATGTCAAAACTGAATTTAACATCTTCTCCAATAACCCTGTTCCACCTCTTACCTTCCTTTGCTACAATCAGTCACCAAATCTAGTCAAATCTAACTCCATAGCCTATCTCCAATTTGCACACTTCTATCAGTCTTCTCAATTGACCTTACCTCAGACCTTTACCATTTTCCTCTTGCTTTACTATAATTTCTAGTCAAGTTTCTCACTCCACATTTGTACTCCCTGGTCTGTTTTGTATACTGCCACTAGCATGACTTTTCTAAAATACAAATTAATCATGATAATCTCCTTAAAACCCTCCTAAGACTTCATAGCCTTCACAATAAAACTCAAGCTCCTATCAGGGCTTACATCTGTTTATCATATGACTGTTTATCACATGACTGTGACCTTCAGTTAAAAAATGTATTTTACATTCCAATGCAGGAACACACACACACACACACACACACACACACACACACCCCAAAAAAACAAAAAACAAACCAACACAACACACACACTCCACAGACGCATTCTGATATTTTTAATTCGTTTGTTAAAAATACTGGTGATGGCCCATTATATTGATTGCACATTCTACCAATGAATTGAGACATACTGCACAAAAATACTGGACTACATAGCCCTTCAAACTGGACCATTTCATACCTTTTTTCTGGTCTTGTCTCCTGTCATTCCCCTTCTCCATCTTTTTAATTTTACATTGCCACAGATCCCTCAGCATGCAATACTGTCTTTTTGCCTCTAGGATTTCCAGTATGTTACTTGCTCTGCCTGAAATCCCTCCTCTATGCTACTCCCATCACTAACTCCCACCACCCCAACACACACACAGACACGTGTATGCGCGTGCACACACACACACACCCTAAATCACATCACTGCTCTTTGCCTGGCTAATTACTACTCACCAATAAGTATTTGATTCAACTATCACCTTGTCAGTGGAGCCCTTTCCTGGTCCACTCTCTCACCTCAATGAAATTCAGAATAGAATATCCCGTTATGTGTACCTATATACCATCCTCTAGTTCTTCCTGTTTCTTAAAAGACTACTGCTTGGCAAATAGTAGAGACTCAATGAACAATGCTAAATGAAAGCACAAAGAAGCTAACATACAGTGGAAGGCACATCTGAAGCGTTAAACAAAAAAGCACTGAAATCCATATTAGAATTTTGAGAACCACAATATATACTTACATTGCCTTTTCATCTACAATTCTTGGTTGGTCTGCACAGAAATCCACTTTAATAGCCAGTGATGACTTAACATCTACAACACCGCTAGTTGGAAAAATGAGGATGGGTAATTGGCCATGGTATTCTGCATTAAATGTGCCTAAAGGGAATAAAGGCAGTTAGTTTATATCTGGACCCTTACAATGTTGCATTCACAGTCTCTCATTAGGGGACCAACATACTTTAAAAAGTAGACCAAGTTTGCATAACCTGTGGCCCATGAGCCACATGCAGCCCAGGATGGCTATAACACAGCCCAACACAAATTCATAAACTTTCTTACAACATTATGAGATTTTTTTTGAGATATTTTAAGCTCATCAATTATTGTTAGTGTTAGTGCATTTTATGTGTCGCCCAAAACAATTCTTCTTCTTCAAATGTAGCTCAGGGAAGCCAAAAGATTGAATATCCCTGGAGTAGATGGTCTACAGTGTACACAGAACTAAGGCTTTAATTGTAAGTCCAGTCTCTAAGGTCACCCAACAAATATGATCCTGTTATTAGAACTCAACTCTCACCAATAGTTAAAATGTATCATCTGCTTACTACATTCAGACACTTATGTTAAGAGCTCTGCATATGTTATTCAATTTCCATATGTAATCTATGATATAATAGTTTCAATCATTACCTCCATTTTGCAAATAAGAAAATAGAAGCTTTGAAATGTTGAATGACTTGTTTAAAGTCACACAACTGCTGTGGTAGATTAGCTTGTTGAGCACAATTCTTTACCTTTTTCCACATTCGTATCTTTACCCTATTGTTCCAGAGTTTCTCACTGCAGGGCTGTGGGTCAGCAGGTTGGCTCTGCTCCACATTTGCTCATTCTAGGGCATGGGCCAAGAGGACAGCAATTACTCAGGAGAAACACTTCCCACTTCCCATGGTAGAAGTGCATCTAGGTTGGAACTGTCAATCCACCCACATGTTATTGACCAAAGCAAATTACATGATCAAGCACCTTGACTTTAGGAACTTTTCTTCTGAGTAACTGGTCTATACCCTAGAATGAGTAAATGTGAAGCAGAGCCACCCAGCTGACCCACAGACCTTCAGTGAGAAACAGAACAGGCCCAGCTGCCTCAGATTGAAGCAGAGCACCCAGCTGAGCTCAGCCTAGATCAGCCAAGTTCCAGCCAATCTGCATACACATGACCACGTGACCACTTAAAAAATAATTGCTGTTTGAAAACAGTTTAGGGTGGTTTGTTATACAGCAATAACTACTACAGTTAGTAACTAATGAAGATGAGATTTTCACTTGGATATTTCTGACCACAGGTTCATACTTATAGTTACTACCATTCCCCAGGAGATGAATTTAACCAGTTCACATAGGATAAGGGCAAAGATGAGTTATGACTGAAATCAAGTCGTATATGAGAAAAAGACTACAAAGATTCTTATTCTGAAAGCAGAAATGGTTCATAATTTATGGTAATGTTTTATGCCTATATTAGAGCATGCAGTCCTTGAAATCAGATACAATCTATTTTTTACGTCTGTGGTCACCATGCCCTACACACCGCTTAGCACTAAGCAGTACTTAAAATATGGCCAAGAAATAGAAGCAGCCAATCACTAGTCTCTGTATCATTATAACACGAATGTGCATGCTGCTAAAATAAACAGTTTTGCAAATTCTGAATTCACCAGTTTTAAATCACATCTGATGACATTTTTCAAAAGTATTCATTTAATTTAGGGAAACAAAATGTTAGCACAACAAAAGTAATGAAAAGATAAAAAACACAATATTTGAAAACACAAAGTAACTAACAACATTGGTTAATTCAGTCATTATATAGATGTGCTAATAACATAATATTTAAAGTTAATTTTCTATCATAAGTAAAAAATCTATAAAATTATGTCCATTTCAAATAAATAGGTATTATTGATTCAATTCCATAAGAAAAAAAGGTATATAAAATTAGTTAAGACTGAGTCAAAGTTTCCTATATTGTAACCATTTAGACATAATTTGACAAAAGAGTTTAAGTGAAGATTTCAAAAACTTATTCAGAAGCAACACAAAATACAAAATAATATTGTTTAATTTTCAAAGTACATTTAAATTGCAGGTATGTCAAAATTACTATATCTTATTTAACTTTAATACAAAAACTATTTGTTTGGCTTTTTAAATTGCTAACAACAAAAGCAAAAATATCATCCTAAGAGAAGAGTTATTGATAAAAAGAATGTTGGCCAGGCACGGTGGCTCATGCTTGTAATCCCAGCAGTTTGGGAGGCTGAGGTAGGCAGATCACTTGAGATCAGGAGTTCAAGACCAGCCTGGCAAACATGGTGTAACCCCATCTCTACTGAAAATGCAAAAATTAGCCAGGCATGGTGGCACATGCCTATATTCCCAGCTACTACGGAGACTGAGGCAGGAGAATCATTTGAGCCCAAGAGGTGGAGGTTGCAGTGAGCAGAGATCATGCCACTGCACTCCAGCCTGGGTGGGGCAGCAGAACGAGACTTCATCTCAAAAAAAAAAAGAATGTTACAAATGGAATATTTGTGATCAAATTTTCATTTCTTCTCAGGTATGGCACTGGCATATGTGTGGGAAATAAAATAAAAGGAAGTAATGTCAGGAAAATAATTTAGGTTAGCAAGGGAAGATCATGGCTTTTTGGTAAAAAAAAAAAAGTGGCATTGGGCAGACACAAGTAGGATTACTGGCTTAATTATGAAGTGAACAGATAAGATTTACTAATTGACTAAGGGGGTAGGAAGTGAAAAAGGGAGAGGTGTTGAAAATGTTGCCAAGTTTCTGAAATGTCCAAATACATAGTGGTAACATTCACTGAAAAAGAAAAAAGAAGTATTGGGGAAGCTGTTAAGTTTGAGAAAACTGAAATATACCCAAAGGGTTGTACAGATCTGGGAAAAGTCACTGAAATAAAAGAAAGGGAAATGATGGACCAAGAAGAGCATCTTGACTGAAGAGACATAAGAGTTTATGGCAAACTGTAGGAAACATTGACATTTAATATACCACAGACAGGAACACCAGTCTAGAAAAGAGAATTGAAGGTGGGAGAGATGGTCAAAAAGTAATAATTATAACATAAATAGCTAGTATTTACTGAAAAGTTAATATATGCCAGAGAGTGTGCTAAGCATTTTATTAATCACCACCACCATTAGAGGAGAAAGGTACTATCTCATCTCTAATCTGTAAGTGACAGAATGGATGTCTGGGAAGTGCAAATTCCTTGTCCAGGGCCTCCCAGATAGTAAGTGATACAACTAAGATTTGGGCCTTGTTCAACTTTTCTTCAGGTCCTGAGTTATTAATGAGTATTTTTTATAGAGAGTGGTCACAGAAGCCAAAGGGGTTTGAATTGTTTTTATTTTGTTTTCCCAGGAAAGTGGCAGTGGCCAACTATGTCAACTTTTGCCAATAAGCCATGTAAAACAGACCTATAGACTTGCTCACTGATAAGACTTGGGGGGCACATAAAACATAAGAGTATCCACAGCTATAGACAGCTGAGATGAAGGGTCCATTGAATCAGGACACTGAAGGGATAAGCGATCCTATGTTTACTGTATGCTATCAAATTAAAGTATACATGAATGTACACACATACAGACACACACACACACACACGCACAGACTCTTAAGTCACAGTAGGAATTCCCGGAAAAAATTCAATCTGGAGAAGAGAGAAGCATTTATTCTTTCAACAAAAAAAATAATAAAAGCCTTCTGGGCCGGGCGCGGTGGATCAAGCTTGTAATCCCAGCACTTTGGGAGGCCGAGGAGGGTAGATCACGAGGTCAAGAGATCGAGACCATCCTGGTCAACATGGTGAAACACCGTTTCTACTAAAAATACAAAAAATTAGCTGAGCATGGTGGCACATGCCTGTAATGACAGCTACTCAGGAGGCTAAGGCAGGAGAATTGCCTGAACCCAGGATGCGGAGGTTGTGGTGAGCCGAGATCAGGCCATTGCACTCCAGCCTGGGTAACAAGAGTGAAACTCCTTCTCAAAAAAAAAAAAAAAAAAAAAAGTAAAAGCCTTCTGGGGAGCTTGATGTTAATTCAAAGTTGAATATGATTGAGAAACAGGACAAATATATTTATTAGGCATCTATGATGAGCCAAGTAACATACCACAATTCAAAGTATGTACATAATTCACCATCGTACATTTTATCAGCCGCAGTTTATAAATGAGAAATCTAAAGTTCAAAAGTCTTAAAAACACTTGCCCCAGATCACACAACTAATAAACACTGTGCTCGAATTCTGTCTCTGAACCATGTAATTTCTCTGACACTAACCTGCCTCCTATCCTGAGGGACATCAGCAGTCATTTGAGTCTTACTGTATTAATCAGGATCATAAAGAGGAAGGTTAATTTTTCTTGAATTGTTGCCTATCAGTCTTTTATAGTCACACTATTTAGGACCTTTGGTTTTGACCTATTTCAAATGATATCATTTTTTTTCAGTTAAATTAGGTAATCTATTTCACAAAGTATACATTTCAAATAATGCCAACTCTTCTAAAAGTATAAGTAAATATGACAGGAAGTATTTACCTGGAACTTTGCCATGATTAGTGATAGTAATCTCTTTATGATACACTTTACTATTCGCAACCAATGTGCCAAAATCAACTACGGATTCAATTGCCAGTTGGCAGGATGGAATCAACCTAGGGAGGAGAAAAGAAGGCCACATAATTCATTTAACAATCGTAACAGCCTGATAGTTAAATACGTAGGGGAATATAGATGGACACTTAACGGCTTAAAAGACATTTAACTTTCTTTACTGGTCTACTGGTGGCATATTTGTCAATAAAAGGAGTTATGAAATAAAGAGATGAAAACAATGTAATGGGTTACATTTTAACAAAGAAATAAAACTTTGTGTATCTAAGTGCATGGTATGCCATCCCAAATAAGTAGTCTGAATGTTTCCAAATTTTTTATGAAATAAAAGAATGTAGTGATGCTGTAACATATCATCTAGGGTCTAAAACAAGATCTAAGTACAAAATGATACCATTTATTTTTCATATGTGTTTCTAAAAAATTCACTATAGCATATTTGTAGCATGTATTCATATATGTTTTTAAAAATCCATTATCATCTTATATATACACCTCAAAGGTTACATACATTTTCTATTTGGCTAGACATTCATGGTTAAAAAGTACTCCTAAGTATATTATCCTCCTTTGGATGTAGCAAAAGGTCCTTAGAATAATTTCTTAGGAATCTTCACACTTCACTCAGAGAAGGAGAGAGAGGGAGAGAGAAAAAGAGAGACAGAGGCTACTTCAGTGTTAAGAGTTTGGTAATATGCAACAATTTCTCTGCATCTCCTGTTAGTTTCTCTTCCTCTTGTATGAAAATCTTAAAATCTTGTTTTGGCTTCACATATACCACAGCATATAAAGACAGTTGACCTCTGAGGACAACAGAGTATCTAGTCAGCTATCGGAGGAAGTACCTATATAAGGACCATAGTATAAGGAATCTCTAGAAAAGAAGAGAATGACAAACACAAGGCTAAGTATGAGAAGTTGTCAAACTCAGGGATGCCCTAATAGGTAAACAAGTACCTTCCAATGGTATAAAGGCATCTTCCTGTTTTACTATCTCATTAAGTGTATCTGCTGATACAAAGAGAACAAAGAGGTCTGTGCAGATTTTGTTTTCTCCGCCCACTTTTCACAATTCCTCTCCCATTTCTTTATACAAAGGAGAAATAAATGTCATCTTTTCTTTCTTTTGGGGGAGTAATAAATATGTTCATTACTTTTATTGTGGTAATGGTTTCATGAGTATACACATATGTAAAAACGTATCAATATATAACCTGTAGATATATGCAGTTTATTGTATGCCAATTATACCTCAATAAAGTTGTTACAAAATTATCTGTCATTCTGAGTGACCTTATTAGTCTTCTCTTTTTTTTTAATTGTACTTTAAGTTCTGGGGTACATGAGCAGATCTTGCAGGACTGTTGCATAGGTACACACAGGCCATGATGGTTTACTGCCTCCATCCCCCCCGTCAGCTACATTAGGCATTTCTCCCAGTGTTATCCCTCCCCAACCTCCCCACCCTTGCTGTCTGTCCCCTAGCCCCCCATCCCCCAACAGACCCCAGTGTGTGATGCTCCCCTCCCTGTGCCCATGTGTTCTTGTTGTTCAATGCCCACCTATGAGTGAGAACATGCAGAGTTTGGTTTTCTGTTCTTGTGTCAGTTTGCTGAGAATAGCAGTTTCCAGATTCATCCGTATCCCTATAAAGGATGTGAACTCATCCTTTTTTATGGCTGCCATGGTGTGTATGTGCCACATTTTCTTTATCCAGTCTATCACTGATAGGCATTTGGGTTGGTTCCAGGTCTTTGCTATTGTAAACAGTGCCACAACTTAATTTAATGCTGATGCATTGCTGTGAAGTGGAAACATCTCTGGGACAACAAACTAGGGGACAATCAAAAACACTGGTGTTGATATTGATAAAGTGAGTGCCCAAAATGATTAGGTAACAAATATATCTACATGAATGTATTTATCCAATTCTCCTTCATCAACCTTAAAAGAGGGAAATACAACTGACTTAGCTGACACATTGTTAAAAATAATACTTGATAAACAACTGCTGTAATTTTACCATATAACTTTACAGAGTTGAAAAAATTGAGAGACATTACTACAAAAAATCCTTCCATTCCAATCTACTCATTATGCAGACAACCATATCAAAAAATCTATAGCAAAGACTTGGAACCAACCCAATTGCCCATCAATGATAGACAGGACAGGGAAAATGTGGCACATATACACCATGGAATACTATGCAGCCATAAACAACAATGAGTTTGTGTCTTTGTAGGTACATGGATGAACCTGAAAACCATCATTCTCAGCAAACTGACACAAGAACAGGAAATCAAATACTGCATTTTCTCACTCACAGGTGAGTGTTGAACAATGAGAACACATGGACACAGGGAGGGGAGCATCACACACTGGGGTCTGTTGGGGGGAACTAGGGGAGGGACAGTGGGGGTGGGGAGTTGGGGAGGGATAACATGGGGAGAAATGTCATATGTAGGTGATGGGGCAGAAGGCAATTGCCATGTATGTACCTATGCAACAATCTTGCATGTTCTTCACATGTACCCCAAAACCTAAAACCCATAAAATATATAATAATAAAAAAAAGAAAATGCCCTGAAAATAAATAAGATAAAACCTAAACAGTGTCACTGAATTTTGACTAGATACTCTTGATTACCAAGACTCTGAACCTGGACCAACTATCTCTTAAAACAAGGATGGTTATGAGTTACAAACAGTAGACAACTGCTCAGCAATAAAAAGAAACAAACTGGCTGGGCGCAGTGGCTCACACCTGTAATCCCAGCACTTCGGGAGGCTGAGGCGGGTTGGATCACAAGGACAGGAGTTCAAGAAAAGCCTGGCCAACATGGTGAAACACCATCTCTACTAAAAATTCAAAAATTAGCTGGGCATGGTGGCGGGCACCTGTAATCCCAGATACTTAGGAGGCCAAGGCAGGAGAATCGTTTGAACCCGGGAGATGGAGGCTGCAGTGAGCTGAGATGGCACCATTGCACTCCAGCCTGGGTGACAAAGAGAGACTGCATCTAAAAAAAAAAAAAAGAAAGAAAAACGAAATACTGATATATGCAACAATGTGGGTGAATCTCAAAAATGAACTGAAAGAAGCCAGACTCAGAAAGACCACATATTGTAGGATTCAATTTACATGAAAATCGAAGGCAGATATATAGAGACAGAAAGCAGATCCATGGTTGCCTGGGGATAGAGTAAAACTCTAGATTGACTGTATATGTGTACAAGAGAAATTGAGAACACTTTTTGGGATAATTGAAGGATTCTAAAACTGGATTGTAATGATGGTGTGCAACAGTATATATTTACTAAAACTCGGCAAATTATATATTAAAAAAATTTTAAATGGGGATAAAATGTATGTGGGATTCATATAAGCAATAAGTAACTATCATCCATAAACATGCTAACTAAATAAAAGTTCAAGATGCCCCATTCATCTGATTATAAATATTTCCAGTAATAGTTTGCTTTTCTGTTAATAAATCAAACTTAGATTGATATATGGAGTGTGAATCAATTTGTATTGATAATATTTACAATTGTTTAAAATATGTATGATTCATGACTGTAGCAAGTATATTTAAATACATATCTGTTTACACAATGCACACACATATGTTCATATGTACATATACACATAGACATAAACTATAGACAAACTGAATATGCACTTTATTCCTGGTGATCATAAAAAATAACATAAGCATAAAAATGTAATACATTAGGATGTGATGCTAACACATTAGGATGTGATGCTAATAGATTACATGAAAATATAATATATTAGGATGTGTTTCTGTGGTGAAAAATGGAATGCAGCTACAAATTTAAGAGGAAAAAGGGAAGAGGTAAGTTTTTCACCTGTTAACATATTATTATGGTATATTCATTCTACTGAATACATTTTAAGAAGTCATATAAATATCTTATTTTTAAAGAGTAACACTTACTATATATAAGCCATTACATCTTTGCAACTGTTCAAACTAATGATGAAAATCTTAGATATTTTTAAATGTAAAAGAAGGGGTTTTGGGTTACACATTGAAAAAAGCTCTGAAAATCACTAATTATATCATATGCCAACTAGGGCACTTTTGCAAATCCAGGTAGATATACAGAAATGTAGAAATAAAACATGTAATTTCTGTTTTTGTCTTCTTCTTTCAGGGCTTACTCCACAACAAATAGAAGGATCATTACATGTCTGATCCACATACAGAAAGTCTAAAGTAAAAATAAATGTGTTCACTCCAAGACAGTTTTTTTAATCACATTCTGTTCATGCCATTATGGAGTATTTCAGATCCAGTTGGACTAACTTTATTCACAAAACATTCACTGAATATATATGTGTGTGTGTGTATATGTATATATACATTCAATTTAGATTATAGAAAAAAATAAAACTCCCCTGGACCTCAAGAATTTTATAATCTAATGAGGAGAAACAAACAAATACAAACTTCTGGCCCAGAAAAATACAGCATAAACCCATTTTTTCCTGATCCTTCTACTAGACACAACTATGAACTCTGAAAATGGTACATGAGGCAAGCAAGAGAGAATGATGAAAGGTGGTGAAAAAAAGAGCTGGCTGGTTTAGGACTCTGGGATGGGAGGAACAATAGCAGCAGGGCGTCTTACAATTCCTCAACCAGCAGAGAAAGGCCACACAGACCCAGTATTCTTTGCCTGCTGACCTAGTTAGGATCGATCATTTTTTTGCTGGATCAAATAGAAGCCCCACTGAACACACCAGGTAAGCCAGACAATGCCAGCCTGGGGATCAATTAGGAGGTATACCAATCGTAAGTGACAAGGGGAAGTACTCTCCTACTCCAGGCCTGAGATCCTGCAGAAGAGGAGCTCACCTCCTGAGAAAAGGAGTTTTCTGTCAAAAGGCACCAAGTTGGTTTTAGAAAACCAGGGGAAAAAAAAAAAAAAACAGCAATTGCAAGCAGCTCTATCTGAAAAGCCTCTTTGTCACTGCTGGCTCAAACCCCTCCTTTTTCAATCAGAGATA